AATTGGCATCATTTCGCCGCACTGCTGCCGCGTGTTCGGCAATTCGCGTCCTCAGAAGTCTGCCAGTTTCTCCGAAATAGTTGCTTTGACCAAACTCACGGCAAATGCACAGCGACTAATAGTTTAGACAGATTAACAATGGGTTAAGGGTCGCGGGTTCGAGCCTCGGACGGTGCAGCACTTGGGGTTGGGTATGACAGGTTGTTGATAGCTAACGAGTCAGAAAATGACCATTCCAGCCTCCCTTGCCTTTGCCGGCAATACCAATTAGACAGATACGTTTTCCATAAATATAAAATTTACAGAAGCCGTAATTTACTACCAAGCGGCAAAAAAATTTCTGCACGTTTTTACAAAGGTTGTCTGAATTTATAAGGGCATCGAAATCAATGAGGAAAGGCATACTAATTAGGTAGCCATTTTTTAGAGCATTTTTTGCAGACAGTCAGAAAGAAGGTCGTTTAAAGCCAGCATCCTGCCCTGTCTAATTGAGATTAGACTGCGCGATAATCCATATTACGACCCTACCTAAGTAATCAGTTCGCATCCAAAACAGATTTGGGTTGAGATTTTATGAGATAAGGATTCTACTGTACAAGCGTCGGTGAAAGTTTTAGCATGAATTGCAGTGACTCCACACGACAAGGGTTGCTGCATGAACATGCTGAATTTTCCAACTGCAGGTTTACAGATTGAAGACGAATAACTAGATACCTGACGTTTGTCAGGAACGCCACATAGTTGGCAATATAACGAACCACCATCCCTGGGGGAGGGGGAACCCAGAAAGGGGGAGGATGACTATGGGTACGACAGGCCTGGGGTCCACACATGCCATAAAGCCCGGACAGACAAGAAAATCAGGGTGCACTCAACGTTGCAAAAACACCACAACTCACCTGCAATCATGCTGGCCTGTGCCTTGGATGCCTGATATTCTGTCTCCAGGTACTTGGGTAAGAAGCCAGCGAACCCGATGATTACGAACATTTCGCAGCAGATGCAGAAGCAAGTGACGATGTAGACCTTGTTGCGGACGAGTTTGCCGATGCAGCGTGGCATATCCTCTACAGAAGACAAAGGCAACCATGAAGGTCAGACTAATAAGTCATGAAAAAAAACGGTAATGAGACGCAGGAAGTATTTCAATTGACACAGGAGCTGCACTTATAACTGATACACATACTTCGAGGGTAGGGATAAAATTATTTTGTATGTATGAGCGAAAAAATGTGATCTACAAAAAGGAGGGTTTTCTAAAGGGTCATTAATTTGGCTGACCAGGAATTAATAGCATGGTCATTTGTCACCACTCCATCTTCTTCAAATCAGCAGCCTAGGCTTACCACTTACATGACTTCACTGGTTGGAGTAACAAAGCATAGAGTAGACCAGTGTTATGCACCAGGAGACTGAAAGGGTTGTTTAAGTGGATTGAAGACCGTCGCTCTGACGCGAGCTCAGGAGGAGGTAGGTGAAGATGCCGGTGCCCAAACCTTAACCACTGACTTCCGACCCGCAACTAGTGTCGTCACAGATTATTTCTGCTCCTCTCACTTATTGTCAGTTTCCCCACGTCCCAGCCCTGCAGTTGCCGATAGCGCCGCGCTCCCCACGGGTAATCCAACGGACACGAAATAAAATCCCCACGTACATGTAACACACATTTCCTTGTTCTACGTCTACTACGCATTTATACGTTTATTACCATTGGATCGCTTTTCATACATTTTTGCTGCTTCCCTTTATGACCTCTGCATCTGTGTAACCGACGTGGTGCTTATCGACTGCTCAGTACTTGCTATGGCTTAAAACGACTACACGTTTAGTGGGGCTGGGATTATGATTAAATTTTCGTTTTGCGTTAGGATTATTATTTGGGTTAAGACATGGGAATACTTGCCCTTCGTGGAATCCATCACAAGGCTACAGTTTTTAAGAAGGCAGGGTGTTCCTATTCCTGTGTCCTGTTTAGGCGGTGACAAAAGTCATCTTTAGCAACATCTGTAACACCTCTCTCTGTTACACTTCAAACGAGCCAGTGTCCGCTTCCTGGTCTCCATCGGCAACAGAGCACTCTATGAAAAAAGCACCTTCGAATCATATAGACGAAAGACCTGTCAGGTAGCTCGGTCATTAAGAGCGCTTTAATCAGATGCCTGCCTTCACATAATAGTCGTTTTTAAGGTCGCGTGTAGTAATGGCCCATCAAGTCATTTTTCGCCTCTGCTCAAGAGTACAAGAATTGTCATACTCATGGAAATGATCCCTTAGGAAGCGCGTGGGGAGGAGTGGGCGGGGGAGGGCAAATGGTTTTGCCTAAACGCCAGCTAGGGCAATATTTTTACCTGAAATGACAGTACATGAAGGAGAAAAACTATCACGATAATAACTGACAGCAAAGCCTTGGGGAAGAGTGTAGGGAGAGATGATGTTGCTGAGGGGACAGCCGAGAACGTATTCCGGGTGGTCCATTGAACAAAAAGCCGTCATTTGGGTTTTAGGATAGGTCGGTAGTCGGGTGGAGAAGATAGACAGTTACCAGAGTATACAGGCGTACGCATCTACTTTTCACAATGGAACAACAGCTAATCAGATAGTCCAGGGAAGACGGCTTGTCCAGATAGTGGTGGGCCCTAACAAAAGGCCATGCATGTGAAGCGCTGAACCAAAAAGGGATCAGATTAGGGGATGGCAGGCCAAGGCGGAAGACCACGCCAGCCACCTGCGCTCAACTGCCGCATCAGATGGTTAATCGGCTCGGACAGCGGACTGACTCCTGGGAGAGGGGAGGGGGAATGCGATTTACTCTGTGGAAGCCTCTCCCATGGCACCTCAACGTATTTCTAAATAGTGAATAATCTAGTGCGCTAAAAGTGCTGGCTTGGATGGCCTCCTCTCAGGACGGCGAGTCAGACGGCTATGTCTCCATCTCAAATTGGCCTTCATGACACTCCCATTCAGATGGGATCCATACCGGCCTACTTTTTGTCGTTGTTGCAAACCGGCCTGATTGTGTGATTACTACAGGCATCAGGACAATAAAAACGTCAATTCTAACGATGTCCACCGTATGCTCCGGATCCTGGTGGTTCAGGGACGGTGACATGCGTGTGGGCTAGTTTCAAGTAATGGTAAACTTCCGCTAAGTTTGCCCCACTCCTTCTTTCCTCACCTGGAGACGGGGTCGGGCGCAGGGAACCGTAGCCGCCACAAT